TCCACGGGCACCGACTGGGGGGGTATGGATTTGGGGGAAGTTTGCTGGGAATTGGAGCATCTGTCACGGCCCAGGCAAGGGGGGACACTGGGGACACCGGGGGGGGGGGACGGACACGGTGGGAGGGGCACGGCACGGGGGACATGGGGGGAGATAGGGGAGGACATGGAGGGGACATGCGGGGGACACAAGGGGGACACAGAGGGACATGTGACCCCCAATCCACACAGACACACACGTGCATCACACACGTGTGCACAAACACACACATGTGCACACACACACGTCACACACACACACCTGTGTGCTCACACACACACCTGTGTGCTCACACACACACACACACACACACACACGTCTAAAGGCCCAACCCCGTTCCCGTCCCCTCCCTCCCCCTCCCCGATGCTCCCCCTGCCCGAGGGTCCCCGCGGGCTCGTCCATCACCGCCAGCGCCGCGGGCCCGGAATTGGGGGAATTTTGCTTGGATTAGGCGCGAGGCGCATTAATCCATTAGAAATGTCAGCGCGCGGCCCCGCTAATTGTCTCATTTAAATGTCTATTTGTCAGCGCCCGGCTCAGGTGCGCATGAGGCGCATCGCAATGAGCCCTCCTGGCCCCCCCGGCCCGGCGGGGAGGGGGCAGTGAGGACGGAGATGGGGGTCCGGCGGCCCCCACCACTGCCGGGCTGGGTTTGTGCTCCGACATCTCCTGAATCCCTGATAAATGTCGCTTGTCCAGAGAATCGAACCCGGCCCGGCCCGTCCATCTCCTGCCGGGGGGAGGGGGGGGCATAAGGCGGGGGGCACGAAATCCCTCCACCCCAGGGATGCCCCCGCAGCCAGGGCTGGGACCCTACGGCTCGTCACGGTGGGGGCAAAGTGGGAGGGTCGTGGTGAGGCTGGGACTCGGCACCATCCCGGCGGGCACAGGGGGAGCTCGGGGTGTAGATGAGACCCCCCAGCACCGCTGTGGGGTGGGGACTCAGCACCATCCGGGGGGGGGCACACGAGGCGTTTGGTGTGCAGATAACATCCCCCCCCCCGCAGCACTGCTCAACCGTGGGGAGATGCAGCTGCCCCAGGGTGGGACCCGCTCCCCCACCCCATCGCATCCCCCAGCCCTCCACTGCTCGGGGAGGGGTCCTGGCACAGCCCCCTGACCCCCTCTCGGCCCTAATAAACAGCAGTCGCTAATGAGCTGGGGGAGGGGGGTGCTGAGGGTGCTCGGGAAGTGCCAGGGCGGGGGCTGCAGTGAGGTCTGGGGAGGCACACTGGGGTGCGGGTGACAGCGGGGACTCCCCAGCGTTGTCACTCGCCCCCCCAGCCCCGCGACAGCTCCAGGACCACCCTCACACGTGTGTGTTTCCCCCCCACCGCTGGTTCATTGTGGCCTCAAGGACAATTTTCCTCCAATTCGGGCCATTTGTCCCCGACCCGCCCCGGCTCCCCCCGTGGCCATCCCCATCCCATCCATATCCATCCGCACGGGGTATGGACCCCGACCCTTCCCCCCTGGGGACAGCGGGGTGACACCCCTAGGCACTGGGGACGCTTCAGCACCGTGTACTGGGCTGTACTGGGCGGCACTGGACGTGCCCGCTCCTGAGCCGGGGGGTCCTGGGGGGCCGCAGAGGCAGCTGGTGACCGCGGGGTTGTGTCAGAGCGGCGGGGGGACGGGGGGGAGGGCAGGGGGGCCGGTGGGGACACGGGGACGTGGTGTCATGAATTTATTCATGTGCTGCGGCCAAATCCGGCCCCGCCGCCCCCCCCCTCCTCAGCCTCCCCGGTTCAGCCCCCCTCGCAGCCTGGGGGGAGGCTGGGTCCGTGTCCTCATCCGGGGGGAGTCCGGGGCGGGTCCTGAGTCCTGTCTGGGCTCAGCAGGATGGGGAAACTAAGGCAGAGACACGAGAGACCCCAAAGGTGGGGCTGAGCCCTCCAAGTCCAGTTTTACCAGCTCCAGACTCAGCCCTGGGGGGTTTTAGGCAGGATCAGACCGTGACTGAGCTCCCCCCCCCCCAACCCAGTGTAACCCGCTCCGGGATCAGCCCGGGGGGGATTTAGGCAGGATTTGGCCGTGACTCCCCCACCCCTCCATCTCCCCCGCTCTCACCGCTGCCCCTCAGCCTCACCTCCCCCGCCAGGACCCCTGAGGACCCCCCAGTGTCCCCTCGTGTCCCCGTCACCTCCCAGCCCTGCTAATTAGCGCCCGGGCTTCCCCTCGCCGCCGTCTTAATTAGTTCGTTGTTGCTGCTCATTAAGCTCAGCCCGCTCGCGGGTCGGGGCTCCGCCGTGTCCCCGAGGCGGGGGGGACACATGGTGTGGCATCGACGTCTCCAGACCCCCCCCACCCCCCGACCACTCGGCGCCGTAATTTGTTGCACAAACACGGCGGTGTCGGGGCCGCATCGATCGCGGGCAGCGCGGCCGTAAATCCGCGGCCGATCCAAGGCCGATGATGGATCGTGGGGATCGGAGGGATCCGAGACCTTTGGAAGCGCCGGGAGAGGGAGAACGGACCCGATAAATCACCCGCGGGGGGCAGGCAGGGGGAGCGGAGCCCACCCGTGTGACCCCTGAGTGGAGATGGACATGGATGTGCTGGGGATGGATGTGGGACAGGCACACGGACATATGGGATGGACATAGGGGTGTGGGATGGACAGAGAGATGTGGGATGGACACACAGACACATGGGATGGACACAAGGGCATGGGATGGACACAAGGGCATGGGATGGACACAGGGATGTGGGATGGACACACATGGGATGGACACAGGGACATGGGATGGACACATGGACATGAGAGGGACACAGGCACAGATGGAATGGACACAGAGGGAATAGACGCAGATGCACATGGACACACAACAGACGTGCACAGAGCACATGCATGCACACACACAAACACAGCAGGATCACAGTCACATATGCACTGAGCATGAACACACACATGAACAGAGCATGAACACACAAAGCCCACACCTGTGCACACACACCCAGCATGCCCGTATACCCACAAACACACACCCCTGCGCTCACACACACAGAACACACACACAGGGCACACACACATGCACAGAACACACACACACACAGAGCACACACGTGAACTGAGCACACCCTCACACAGAGCACACACCCCCACACACCTGTGCACACACCTCCACATCCCCCCAGCTTCTGTCCCTGGGGGTCCCACTGTGACACCTCACGGACACACATGGACACCACCCCAGGCCCCTCCCCCGGCTTCGTGCAGGGGACCCCCCATTCCACTCTCCCATTCCACTCCCTCATCCCATCCCTCCATCCCACCTCTCCAACCTGCCCCTCCCGGGGGCCCCTCGGTGGCGGGGGGGGAGGGCTGAGGCCCCAAGGATGGTATTGGGGAGGGCCCGTGAGCCCCGCACCCCAACACGGAGCTCCCCACGCGTTTGGATCCCAAAGGGACCCCAAAAACTGCCCCGCGGCCGCCTGCGTGGGGCTGACCCCCACAAGAGGGGGTCCCTGTGCATGGGGGGGATCCCTGTTCACCCTGTACCAGCTCTCCCGCATCTCCTGGTCCCCGCTCTCCCCCGCCCAGGGCTGTGCACACTCACCCCCTCCCTTGCACACTCACCCTCCTGCGGGTCCCCCCCGCCCCTGGCCGCCTCCCCGCCCCCGCCGTGCCCGGAGCCGTCGAGCGGGGCGGGCGGAGCGGGGCCGTGCGGGGCGGGCGCGGTGCGAGCGGCAGCACCGGCAGCAGGTACCGGAGAGGGAGGGATTGGTTTGGGGGGAGGGGGGCCCACCGAGGGCCCGGGGCCGCGGGTCCCCCGGGAAGGGCGCGGGGGGGTCCCAGAGAACCGGGCGCTCCCGGGGCAAGGGGGTCCCGCTCCCGGGGGTCTCATTCCCGGGGGTCTCATTCCCAGGGGTCTCATTCCCAGGGGTCCCGGTCCCGGGGGTCCCTCTCACATACAACTTGGGGAGAAGTTGACCCGCGCGCCGTGGCGGATCCTCCCCGGTTCTATCTCGGTTCCATCCCGGCTTCGGTCGCGGCTCCTTCCCGGTTCGTTCCCAGCTCCCCTCCCGGGTTCTTCCCGGCTCCATCCCGGCTCCGGTGACATCACCAGCTCCAACACCGGCTTCGGTCCCGGCTGTTACTGCAGGAGCTCCACTCTCCGCTCCCGGCTCCGCTCCGGTACCATCGTCGGCTCCGGCTTCATTCCCTTCAGCAGCGCCAATCCCGGCTCCACCCGCAGCTCCGGCCCCGCTCCCGGTCCCATCACCGGGAACAGCCACAGCCCCGCTCCCGGTCCCATCTCTGGCTCCCCCCGCAGCTCCACTCCCGGCCTCGTCCCCAGCCCCATTCCTAGTCCCATCGTCTCTCCCGATCCGTCCTCGCCCCGATCTCAGCTCTCGGTCCCATTCCTGCTCCTGATCCCATCCTCGGCCCCATACCTGCTCTCAGTCCCATCCCTGGCTCCACCTGCAGCTCCAGCCTCGGCCTCGGCTGCTGTCCCCATCCCTGTCCCCATCTCTGTCCCCATCCATATCCCTGTCACCATCCCTGTTCCCATCTCCAGCCCCATCTGAACCCCGTTTCCGTTCTCATCCCTGTCCCCATTTCCAGCCCCGCTTCTGTCCCCCTATCCCTGCTGCTGCTCCCACTCCCATCCCCTCTCCCAACTCTGCCACCATCCCCATCCCTGTCCCCATCTCCAGGCCCGTTTCTGTCCCCATCCCTGCTGCTGTTCCTACTCCTATCCCCTCTCCCAACCCAGCCACCATCCCCCTCTCTGTCCCCATCCTTATCGCCATCCCTGCCTTTATTTCCATCCCCAGTCCCACTCTCATCCCCTCTCCCCCGGCCCTCCCCGTGCCCTGATTGTCCCGGGGGCGTCCCCTGCGCGCCCCCCGCTATCACCACCATCGCCCCCAAGGGCGAGCAGGACCTGCTGGCCGTGGCCGCGTCCCGGCTGCGGCGGCGGCGGCGGGTGGCCGGGGTGGCCGCGGGCGTGGCGATGGTGCTGGTGCTGTTGGTGGCCATCCCGCTGCTCGTGCACAGCTCCAAGGCGGCCGCGCACTACGAGATGCTGGGGAGCTGCCGCATGGTCTGCGACCCTTACCCCGAGCCGCCCCCCCCGGCCTCCCCGCAGCCCCCCCCGGGCCGCCGGGGTCGCGCCGGAGCGCGGGGACCCCCCGGCCCCCCCGGCCCGCGAGGGCCCCCGGGAGAGCCGGGCCGGCCGGGCCCGCCGGGCCCCCCGGGGCCAGGGCCCGGGGGGTACATCCCGTCCTTCTACAGCCCCAAAATCGCCTTCTACGCGGGGCTGCGGAAGCCCCACGAGGGCTACGAGGTGCTGCGGTTCGACGACGTGGTAACCAACGTGGGCAACTACTACGAGCCCTCCAGCGGCAAGTTCACCTGCCCCCTGCCCGGCATCTACTTCTTCACCTACCACGTCCTCATGCGCGGCGGGGACGGCACCAGTATGTGGGCAGACCTCATGAAGAACGGGCAGGTAACGCAGGGAGAGACTCCCGAGACCCCCGGGCCCCCCCTGCTCTCTGCCGGCCCCATGTCTCTTCGTATGGTCCCTCTCCATCCTGGTTTTCCCCACCCAGGTTTTCCCCATCTTGGTTTTCCCACTCAACTCGTGGTGCTTCAGTTTCCTTGTTTACACCGGTCCCGTTTTTTGTATACACCTATCCCGGGTTTCCTAGTTTGGTTTTCCTTAATTTTAGTTCCCCCAGCCTGGTTCTCTCCCATTCCTGATTCCTCATCCCGGTTCTGCTCCCCCCAAAATCCCCACACCCCATTTTCCCCATCCAATTCCCATACAGTCCCTCCATTCCCAAGTCCCCATCCCTGGTTACTCCCTCCCAAGTCCCCACATTCCACTTCCCCCATTCAATCCCATCCCCAGTTCCTATCCTTCTTCCCCCCTCCCTGATTCCCCATCCCCAGTTCTGCTGCCCTGCAAATCTTCACGTCCCATTTTCTCCATCCAGTTCTCCCCAATTCCGATCCTCTTCCTCCCACTCCCAATTTCCCATCCCCAGTTCCTCCCTCCCCCGGATCCCACATTCCTCCATCCAATACCCCCCAATTTCCATCCTGATTTCCTCTCACTCCTGATTCCCCATTTCCAGTTCGTCCCCCCTTCCCACATCCCATTTCCACCATCCAATCCTCCCCAATACCCATCCTTTTGCCCACATTCCTGATTCCTCATCCCCAGTTCCTCCCTCCCCCAGAACTCACATCCGGTTTCCTCCACCCATTTCCCTCATCTAGTCCCATCCTAGTTCCCATCCTCTTTCCCCATTCCTGATTCCCCATCCCCAGTTCCTCTCTCCTCATCCCATTTCCCCCATCCAACCCCACCCCCCCAATTCCCATCCTCTTCCCCCATTCCCAGTTCCCCGTCCCCAGTTCCTCCTTCCCAAGTCCCCACATTCCATTTTCTCCATCCAACCCCCTCAGTTCCCACACTCTCCCCCGCCTCCTCCATCTGTTCCCACCCTCTTCCCCCTCTGGGATCACGGGGGGGATGATGCCCCCCACCCCCCTCCTCTCCCATCCCCATCCTCCCCTCAGCCTTGAGGTCACACCCCCCACCTTTCCAGAGGTCCTGCCACGGGGGCGGAGGGGACACGATCCCCTGAGAATGCTGGGCTTGGAGCTGATGGGACTTGGGGGGGCTGTGGGGGGTCACTGGAACATCCCCAGCGGGGGGGGCGTCGGGCTGTGCCCCCCCCGGCCTCTCCCTTTGTTTGCTCCCAAATGGCCTCACCCCGGGACTCTTCCCATCCTCGTATTCCGGGAAAAACGAGGATCGATCCAAGGTGGTCGATGCCCCTCCAGCACCACCCCTCCAAACTGAGCTGTCCCCGTGTCCCCCCGGGGCATTCCTGGTCCGGGGAGGGGCTGCACGGGAGCCTGGGGGGGTCCCGTGCTCCTGGTCACCGTTCTTGGAGTCTGCCTTGGGTGGGGGGGGTCTCCCTGTCACCCTGTGGGACCCTCGGGGTGCCCCTGTTATCCTGTGGGATGCCGGTGGTGCCGGAAGGGAACCCACATGTTCCCAGGTGTCTCCAGGTTGTCCCCTCGGCTACACTCGTGGCCCGGGGGAACATCGGCTCTGCCCCATCTGGCACCGTGACCTTGATCGCCCCTCGGGGGTCCCGAATCCCCATTCCCTCGTGGGTGGGGGGTGGTCCCTGACCCCCACGCCCCCCTCCCCCCCCAAGGTCCGTGCCAGCGCCATCGCGCAGGACGCGGACCAGAACTACGACTACGCGAGTAACAGCGTCATCCTGCACCTGGACGTGGGCGACGAGGTGTTCGTGAAGCTCGACGGGGGCAAAGTGCACGGGGGCAACACCAACAAGTACAGCACCTTCTCCGGCTTCATCATCTACCCCGACTGACCCCCTCCCCCGGGACGGGGAGGGGGCTCGGGGCTCTGAGACGGGGGTCCTGCCCCCCGCTGCTGTCCCTGCCCCACGACTCTCAGCCCCCCATCATAAAACCCATAAAACCACTCCCCAAACACCCCAAAAATACCCCTAAGTCCAGCACCTTCTCCGGTTTC